AGATGGTACATGTGCTGCCTTTATTCTCCTAGTCATTAGATGGTGCATGTGCTGCCTTTATTCTCCCAGTCATTAGATGGTGCATGTGCTGCCTTTATTCTCCTAGTCATTAGATGGTGCATGTGCTGCCTTTATTCTCCTAGTCATTAGATGGTGCATGTGCTGCCTTTATTCTCCTAGTCATTAGATGGTACATGTGCTGCCTTTATTCTCCATCCATCCATCCATCCATCCATCCATCCATCCATCTCCTACCGCTTTTCCTGGTCAGGTCGCGGGGGCAGCAGTCTAAGCAGGGAAGCCCAGACTTCCCTTTCCCCGGTCACTTCGTCCAGCTCCTCCGGGAGGGGATTCCGAGGCATTCCCAGGCCAGCCGAGAGACATAGTCTCCCCAGCGTGTTCTGGGTCTTCCTCGGGGCCTCCTCCCAGTGGGACATGCCCAGAACACCTCACCAGGGAGGCGTCCAGGAGGCATCCTGACCAGATGCCTGAGCCGCCTCATTTGGCTCCTCTCCCTCCCAAATGACCGAGCTACTCACCTTATCTCTAAGGGAGAGCCCAGTCACCCTGTGGAGGAAACTCATTTCGGCCGGTCACTACCCACAGCTCATGACCATAGGTGAGGGTAGAAACGTAGATCAACTGGTAAATTGAGAGCTTCGCCTTTTGGCTCAGCTTCTTCTTTACCATGACAGACCGATGCAGCGTCCACATCACTCCTGATGCCGCACATATGTCTGTCAATTTCATACTTCATTTTAATATAAGAATAACTAATCAAGTGCAGTTTATTTCAGTTTTATGGCACTTTTTTGATGATTCATAAACAAGAATTGACAGGGTCTATCATATCATCCATCATCTATAATCCATCCATCCATCTTTCAGCTACTTAGTTGGTATAGGAATGGGGGTACAGGATCTACAAGGACAACAACCAGGACACCAACTGACACACCNCCTGCGCTCAGTGATATCTTGTATGAAATGTATGGATATATAATTTTAAAATAGTATGATAATTACTATATTTTTAGGGGGGGCTTGGGATCATTTTGGGGGGGCTGAAGCCCACCCTAAATAGGCCTAACGACGCCCATGCTGTACAGCATAGACACTTGTGACAATGTCTGACTCAGGGCCCTCCTGCAAGTGAGCTGACACAAAGCCCACATAGTCAGTACCTGCTGTTTTGGTTCTGCATGCATGGGCGTAAATTACCCCCAATAAATTACCCATGGGCGTAAATTACCCCCAATAAATCAAAACCAGCTAATACGACCCTCCCAATAATAATTTTTCTCCTGTAATTGGTGGAGACTTCAACCCCCACAATGTTCCAGCCAAAGTTATGCCCTTATCTGCATGGTCATGATTAAGAACAAAGCAACTGCAGAACAGCTTCTGTTCATTGTGCACAGGCCCTGCTGATTTTTTTTTGGTGACTGGCTTAGGAGTGATCCTGACGGGGGAGGCCCAGTCGGAGGTCTTCTTGTCCCGCGGCACTGACATGGTTACTGTCTTGTTTGAGGAGGAGCCGCCCAGTTTCAGACGAGGAATCCTGTATGAAGTCAAAGTAAGAGTCCTTGTGTCCTGTTTGTCTCACATTGTCTATCTATACAAGTCATTAGATTTGTTCTCCTAGTCATTAGATGGTGCATGTGCTGCCTTTATTCTCCTAGTCATTAGATGGTACATGTGCTGCCTTTATTCTCCTAGTCATTAGATGGTACATGTGCTGCCTTTATTCTCCATCCATCCATCCATCCATCCATCCAACCATCCATCCATCCATCTCCTACCGCTTTTCCTAGTCAGGTCGCGGGGCAGCAGTCTAAGCAGGGAAGCCCAGACTTCCCTTTCCCCGGTCACTTCGTCCAGCTCCTCTGGGGGGGGGGGACTCCGAGGCATTCCCAGGCCAGCCGAGAGACATAGTCTGTCCAGCATGTCCTGGTTCTTCCTCGAGGCCGCCTCCCAGTGGGACATGCCCAGAACACCTCACCAGGGAGGCGTCCAGGAGGCATTCTGACCAGATCCCTGAGCCGCCTCATTTGGCTCCTTTCCCCTCCCCGAATGACCGATCTACTCACCTTATCTCTAAGGGAGAGCCCAGTCACCCTGTGGAGGAAACTCATTTCGGCCGCTTGTATTCACGAGCTAGTTCTTTCGGTCACTACCCACAGCTCATGACCATAGGTGAGGGTAGGAACGTAGATCAACTGGTAAATCGAGAGCTTCGCCTTTTGGCTCAGCTCCTTCTTCACCATGACAGACCGATGCAGCGCCCACATCACTCCTGATGCCGCACATATGTCTGTCAATCTCATACTTCATTTTAATATAAGAATAACTAATCAAGTGCAGTTTATTTAAGTTTTATGGCACTTTTTTTATGATCCATAAACAAGAATTAAAAATGACAGGGTCTATCATATCATCCATCATCT